AAGAACCCGTGAAATGTATGTATATATCCTGCATATGTCATACTACAGTACTGAAAAAATGAATGCCTCTTGTCATCCATAGTGCAAATCATCGCCCAGTTGACATTAGCTCTTTAGCAGTTGTTTTTATAAACAATCTGGAATGTGATGAAAGTGAGTGATTTTCTACACTGCTGCTGTGTCTAACTTCCTGACGGGCTTTACTTTGAGACATGTTTATAACTGGTAAGAGCAGAGCTGCATCCTATAAACACCGCTGCAGAGGCTCTAGCCAGTGTTGTTTTACAGGGATAGTAAGGGTACTTGTGTAAAATGTGAGCAGTTGGTGCATTAAATGCAGCAGGATCAGGTTAATGGAGTTTCAGGTATCAAAGGAGGAGTTCTCACAGGGAAATCAAGGTAATCGTTACAAAGAATGCAGCTCCTACAAGAACAAATTTACACAATCTGAAACAACTCAAAGGTTTTTCACAGTTAGACCAAACATTATATTACACATTTGGTCACTTTTGTTTCCTTTGTGAGTATTTTCTGAACCAACATAGCAAGAATACATTTGATCACAATGATCAGTGTCCACCACAAGCTGTTTGGTCTAACTAGCAGATCTTCCTCTATATACAGTAAGCTTTACATTTATAATCATCTAATTTGCTGTTTTAATTGTTCTGGGTTTTCTTTGCTTGGCTCTGAAATGGATAACTGATCAGGGGATGAGTCTGAAGTAGTCACTGTATACAGTTTACTTCTAGGAATATTACTCTTTCAGACAAGGATTGGTCTGATTGTCATCTGCAGCCAGTATGATACTTACAACTTACCTCAAAAGAACTGCACACTCCATTACTTAAAAAACTTTTAAATAGTAACAATCAGTTCCAGTTGCTGTATCATACAGCTAGACACATTCCCCTTCCTGGAATCCACAGGTCATAAGTTGAAATTAACACCAGTGTAGCTGTCATGCTGGTAATAAAATTATTTTAAAACTTTGTTATAGTTCAAAACTGTGTAATGTGATACAGGAAGCAGTTTTAGACGATTGAACCAGAAAACCTGATGTTCTTTGAGTCGTAGCATAAAATCACAACCTTAGTAAGGCTTTTATTGTGACAGTGTTTCCATAACAGACACAAATAAGAAGAATGAAGTACTGGTGTGTGGTTCTATAACTGCTAACAATGACTGCATTGCTTCTAAAATGAAGCATGGATGAAACTAATTGATTTTAATAATCAGTTTGTTGTTATAATAGGCACTCAAATGTAGATTTTTCACAAGAGGTTTAGTCACAGAAGCAGACAAAAAAAAAAAACTATGAAAAGCAACTTTATCTTGGATTAAAACATGTTTATGTATTGACTGGAAAACACCAACTGTCTGCTAGTAAGGAAATACATAAACTCGTGGTATTTTGTGTATTTCATTCAGTGTAATTATCTGATTCTTTGGCACCATAAAGTCTGTGGCTTGCAACTACCGTGGCCGAATCATTTATATGACAGTGCTGAAGATAAACGCATTGCACAGGGGCATAGTATTACTTGTGGAAAATGAGGAGAGTCTGGCACAATCATATTTCCACTTGTTGCTGACAGCTCTGTTATGACGAGCATGCCCCATTTACTGAAGAGGGGCACAGCTGTCAGCAGAGAGGAACACAGCCAGACTGCATACCCTGAGCTCTGCCACAAGGTGAAGAGCAGTATGTGATTAATGACACATGTCAAGGCACTCAACTGACCCTGTCCTCAGGTATTCTGGCTGTACATTCTGTATATACCCGTAATACCATTCTCATACTCACCCTTCTGACACGCTTTGGGATATTTGATGTAAGACACAGCTTTGGTGCACAAGGACCACACCGTAACTCTCAGCTATCACAGCACAAGAGGAAAAATAGAAAACAGACAATGTGTATTAGTTCAACTGTGATTAATAATTCCAAGATAAGCAAAAATACGGTGGATACATTCATCTTTCTAAGAGCTATCACATTTCTTTACCTATATGAATGTTATGTTACAACTCCTCTTTTACAAGTGATACAGTGACTTAATGAGTGCTGAAAATAGAATTGAACAGAGCATTTTAAAAACAAATAGGGCACTAAACTAATGAAGGAGTCTTCAAATCATAATCTGTCTATCACCAATGGAAAGCCAAACAAATGTGAGCTTTACATGAACGACTGGGCCTGTCACGATAACACATTTTGCTGGGCGATTAATTGTCTCAGAAATTATTGCGATCAACAATAATATTGTTTGAAATGTAACAATAATTAGTCATTATTATCCAATTTAAGAAGAACTGGTTCATTTGTTTTGAGTGTAATACCTTTTTTTGACCACTGGATGGCTGTACAAGACCATTTGAACAGAAGGATGGATAGTGAGGGAGCGAGCAATGTGTCTCTAAGAAAAATGGGAGGGAGGCCCCTTGACATGACATGGGCTGTCTCTTTCTTTTTTTTTTTTGATTCTCAAAATGGCGGACGCTCGGTGTGATTTGAGCTCTTTGGCATAGCATTTTCACACAAAGCTTTTAATAATAATAAAAAAAAAATCAGTACACGAGTTCTCAGCTTCTTTTTGCAGAGAAAAACAACTTTTTACATGAGAGCACAGGTTTCAACCATGAATTTTGGAGCTTCGACAAGAAGGAGGTTTTTTCCCCAAGTTCAGCCTGTTAGCTTAGCTCGTAGCTTAGCTTCTCTGCTTAGCTGGTCTTAATGATCCAAAAACACGATTTTGGATGGTTGAAATGGATTTTAAAGAGAAAAAAGAAAGGGAGGGGTAAGTGGAGAGCACCGGAGTTGAGCCTTTTGTCATCCAGTGTCTTCAGAAAAAGAGAGACACGAAGAAACGATAAAGCCAATAAATGAAAATGAGGTCGATAATTTTCATTTATCGTGCGATTAATTGATTTATTGCTTATATGACAGGCCTATGAACGACCATGCATTTAAATGGATATAGACAGATTGTCGTGTTTTGAAGAGATTATTGCCTACAAGGTATATGAAATATTAAACATTTAATGAAGGTTTTGCCAAGTATGAAGAGCGTTATCAGCCACAAAACTTCCACAAGTGACCCAGGAGCCAAAGGAGTTTATAAGTGTAAAGTAAAGGTTGAGAACACATTAAAGTAACAAATCTAAAACAATAACTGAACGCATAGCGGACAATTTAGATCAGTCTGTTGTGTAGCCAAGATGTAATACAAGACATGCTTACATGCTTGCTACAAGTGTGACCAATTAACAACAAGTTGTGCATTAGTCAGCAAGTGGTTTGTGAACTGACAAAATGCACCACAGCAGCAGCACAAAATTATCTTACCCCAAGTCTGCATAACAAAGAAAACACGCGTTAACGTGAAGTTTTTGACCGTGTTCAGAAAACTTCATGACAAAAAAAAAACAAGCAGCTACGCTTCAGGAAATTAGTAAGTATAGAGTAGTTTGAAAGTTGGGATATTTTATTTTATGAAAAGGCACCATTAGGTTATTTGGACACTTGGAGAATAAGTAGGGTCTTCGACTGAACATATCACTGTGTGTTAGTGTAAGGTTGCTGCTCAAGTATGTCGTCACTATTAACGAGATGAGACTCACTACACCACAAAGACACTCAACGTAGAAAAACTGTATAAAAATATTGGTCCTAAAAAAGGAGTCTAGCCATAATTAAGGTTTTTGTTTGTTTGTTTGTTTTTGGAGAATGTGCAGAGCTGAAACTAGCAACGTGAGGAACTTTTCATCACCATGTCCACACAGATATTTGAACAGTTCCAAGTCTGTCGCCTAACTGGCCTGAAGCGTTGACCCTTCTGTTCAGGCAAGACGCCCAGCTGTGTAGATCCTCTAATAACACCTCGCTGCACACTTTCTGGACTTCCCCTCAGGCAATCTGCCATGACAACCAGAGTCAACACTGCTCAAACACCCACACACTTACGCTCAGATGCTTTGAATCCACCACATAGGAGCTGCAAACTGATCATCGTGACAGGAAGGGAGTGTAACTTTAAACTGGCTGGAATAAAATTGTTGTAAGGAAAATAAGTTAGAAATGCTTTTACGTGTGGGGGTGGTATGCAATTAGACCCTTGGTTGGTAAAGCCACAGTTGAGATGAAGCATCCTTAGTAAAGTTGAGCAATGGGGGGGTGTTGCGACAAAGTCAATTTTTTAACCCAATCGTTCTAAATATGAGGAAAAAGCTAAATGATCAACTTTTATTATAATATTTAAACTCAAATTCATACAGTATATCCCATTTCTCTTTACAGTAGCCTCATTTTACCAAAGAACCTGAACCTCTAGTGCCAAAGAACAAGCTATTGTCCCATGTTGCCTTGCATCAGCTGCCACTATTCATAGTATACAGTAGCAGTATTTCCAATGATGCATGATGCAAACAAAACTTCAGCTGTCCCAGCCAAATCTGCAAATGCTAATCTGATTTAAAAATGTAAAAAAAAAACATTAAAGAAATCAATCTCAGCACTGACCTTGGTAAAGTAGATTAACATAGATGTGTGAATGGCATTTATGGGGTCCACATGTAAATGATTGGAATTTAAATAAACAGTGCAGGCTACATTTAAACAATGTGACTTTTTAATAAATTTTTCATATGGCATCATCCAAATTTAGTGATTTTATAACTTCTACAAAAACAAAATGGCTAAAATCAAGCTTTAAAATTAGCATTTCACATTATTTCAGTTCATTTTTTGTCTTGTGCTGTTGTTTTTTTACTTTGTGAAGGAAGAATTCAAGTAAAGTTTTCATTCTAATCTGTACACTGTCCTTTTACACATGATTAACTTTTTAACAAGTAACAGTGATTATTTATAGACTGTCCAGGGCTGCCCTGAAAAAAAGATAAATGTACTAATTTTCTACTGCTGTCAGTTGTATCAAAAAATTGGAAAGACTAGAAAATATTCTGGATTGAGTTACAAATAACAAAACAAAGCCAGATGAACTCACTGCCAACTATGCAGATTTACCAGCACATAGACAGACAAACACCTACACAAAGGCATGACGCCGACCACAGGCAGCTGTCACTAAACAAGTTAATATTGCAGACTGTTTATGAGTACGGCTGAAATTTAAGCTAGACATAAAAACCAGCATTAACAAAGTCTTGGGCTGGGGTGAAAATAAGTTCAATCAGCCCCTTGGCAATATTCAAAACAATTCTGCTATTCATTTTCTTCATAATGGTATTGCAAACTTTACTACTAACATAATCAGGAAGCACTGGGTTAGCATATGTTAGCGACACATGATAGAAGCCTCCAAAAGATTGAAGATCTTTTTCTGAAAACTCTTGTATTTCCCTTATAATGCTTTTTTTTAGTAAGTAAGAGGAATGATTCCATTTCCCCTGAGGTATGACAGCAAACAAACAATGAACGTTTATTTGTGTGGCATTTGTTCAACAAAATTATCATTTAAAGACCTTTGAATTAGGTATAACAAAAAGTACTACATTTATGCATTTATTTATTTTTACCAATTACAACAGTTAACTTCTTTTATCTTTTCCCTCTTCGGAGTCGCCACAGCAAGTCATCCTCCTCCATCTCACTCTGTCCTCTGCATCCTCTGTTCTCACTCCAACTACCTCCATGTCCTCTCTAACTGCATCCATGTATCTCCTCTTTTTCTTTTTCCTGGCAGCTGCATTTCTAGCATCTTTCTACCAGTATACCCACTGTCCCTCCTCTGGACATGTTCAAACCATCTCAGTCTGGCCTCTGTAACTTTATCTCCCAGTTGTTCAACCTGCGTTGTACCTCTGATCTCATCTCATTTCTAATAGTCACCCACAAATATGCCATTGAATATTTGAGTCAAAAACCTCACTGCCATCTCCCCTATATATTAACAAACCTTCTCTGGTTTGTCATCAGGACCTACTGCCTTCACCTTCTTCATTCTTTTCAGAGCTTTCTGAACTTTATCCACACTAATCTTTCCCACTTCCTGATCCACAGCTTCTATGACCTCTAATCTTCTTTTCTTTTCATTCTCTTCATTCATTAGCTTCTCAAAATAATCTTCCACTCATAGTCTCCATACTTGTTAGAACATTACCATTCCTATCTTTAACAAGCCTAACTTGTTGTACATCCTTTCCTGCCTGATCCCTCTGTCATGATAATTGGTACGAGTCCTTCTCGCCCTCTTTAGTGTCCAGCCTCCTATTCAACTCGTTAAATACCTTCTCCTTTGCTTTAGCTACATCCCTCTTTGCTCTACGTTGTATCTCCTTATATTCTTGACTACACTCTACTCCTCTCATTGTCCAATTTCTTCTTGGCTAAACTCTTTCTTTGAATAGCTTCATGCACTTAACTATTCCACCACCAGGTTTCCTGATCTTGTCTCTGTCCAGATGACACACCAAGTACCTTCCTACCTGTCTCTCTAATCACTGTTGCTGTAGTAGCCTGTAGTAGCCCAATCATCTGAAAGCTCTTTTTTACGCCCCAGAAACTTTAACAGCTCCTCTCTGAACTCCTCATAACATTCTTCCTTCCTCAGCTTTCACCATTTGGTCTTCTTCTTTGACTGTACTCTTTTTCTCTTCTTCAGAACAACAGTCATTCTACACACAACCATCCGATGCTATCTGGCCACACTCTCCCCTGTCACAACCTTACAGTCCCCAATCTCTATCAGTCTACCTGTGTACTCCTTTCTCCACTCTTCTAGGTTCCACCCTCTTTTTGAAATAAGTGTTGACTACAGCCATTTCCAAATCCACCCTCATCTGTCCTTCATGGTTTCTTCCCTTGAAACCAAACTGACCCATCACTTCCTCATCTCCTCTGTTTCCTTCACCGACATGT